AGAAATCAATTCAGGGGTACATGATCAGATTTCCCATCAGAAAATGTTCATTACAGATCTCAGCTCACCAAAATTAAAACATGAAACCTAAAAATTAAGTATAAAATTCTCAATTTCTTAAGTTTGTACAACCACAAAAAAATCATGTAAGTGGGAATACTCCTTAGGGTCTTGTTATGTCCACAAGTATCTCAACAGGGATTCTAGGAAATAGGAGAGCTAAGAGAAAACACACACACACACACACACACACACACACACACACACACACACACACACACACGGCTCTACAGGCTCTAACTTTTAAATTTGGGCCATCTGGGTGAATGGCAGTTTTTCATGGCCACTTTGAACTATCATGTCTGGGAAGATTCCTTCTCTGCTGATGGCCAGTTTCATCTGCTTTCTGGTGCAGAGCGCAGGTTCCTGTGGCAGGGCAGGCTGCTGGCCTCAGGTCTCCTCTCAAGGCTAAGCGAGCAGAAAGTGGGTATAGTCAGGCAGCACAGTTTGGGGACAGGAAAGGTGTTTGAACATGCTAAGTTAGAAATTTATCTCTCATCACCAGTTTAAAACTCACTCAGTAGGGATTTCTAGAAGTTCAGGTAGCCATTAAACAATCTCTAAAGGTAGTTTTAAATCTATTCCCTGTACTTGCCTGCCCTTTGTGTTACTGCATGAAAGCCTGCTATGGCCCAGCAGGATAATTTGGATCACTGCTCTCCCATCTGGTCAGGGCTAAATTCTTTTTAGACCTCAATCCAGGAAGAAGTCATTCCTTGTCTGCAGCATACCCCAACAGATAGTCTAGAAATATTAATGTGACATTAGCTAATAATGAACATTACAAATTCGTAACTTGCTTTCTCTTAACATGCATTATTTCCAATTTTATTCACTTTTATTTTTTTACCTTGAATCAATTTTTTAAATTTATTAGTACGTTTGCATTACATAGCAAATACATCCCTCGTATGGAGTTGATACAAGTCCATAACACATCTTAATTCCTTTTCATCCCTTTTCCTTCCCCTTTTGTACCTCCCTCTACCGCTTGATCCCTTTCTCATTGGAAAAAGATCTATCTCCTTACTTTCAATTATCTATCTTTTATTTTGCTATTTATATTTTGGGTTCCTTATGTAAGAGAAACTGCAATATTTAAGCCTGTGTGCCTGATTTATTTCACTTAATATTATGGCCTCAACATAGTACTTCACTGTATATAAATACATTTTCTTTATCCATTCATGTTTTTTAAATTTATTTTTTATTAGTACATATTTGCCATACATAATGACCACATTCATCATAGAGAATTTGTACCTGTACATAACATATATTAATTCTTCCCATTCATCTGTCGATGAACATTTAGATTTAGAACATTTAGATCTATCATGAATTGTGCTGCTATAAATGGGTATGCATGTACTGTGGGAGAGTAACCCTGACCCTGGTCTCCATGTTAATCTTGTGGACTGAACTGAACATGAAACACGGTAAACCCCCTCTTAAGGAGGAAGGGATACATGAAAATAGCACAAAAGCTAAGCTGTAGTAGTTTTCATTCCTTTTTCAATTTAAAAAAACCTGCTTCTAAGCCTTCTATTGTTCACCATAACTCAGCTAACCACCATCCTAAATTCCATTACTCAATATAGAAAGTCATTTTGGACAAAGACCCACGTGTTTCTAAGTATAACTGGCAAACTGGAAAGCCCTTCAACAAATTTAAAGGAACAACATGGAGAGCAAATCTACACCCAGGCATGCTGAAGAGGCCGAGAGAGGAGTCTAGGTCATGCTCCAGAAAAACCTACTTGTTATTTCATCATGTGCACAATGTCTTTCAGAACCACAATCTCCAAAGGGTTGCTTCAGACCTTCCTCTCCAGAGTAATTTTTCGTTATCACGCATTTGCCCACATTTGTCCTAAAACTTTAATTGGGACAAAGACGTGTTTCGACAGCCCGACGTCAAACTACTGAAGTCGAGTTCTAATCAAGACGATGATGAAAGCCCTGGCAGATATGTTTTCTGTACCTCTGCAGTTTACATGGGACTGAGGCTCGTCCTTGGGCACAACAACAGCAGCAGCACCAAATGGACCACAGACAGCCATTCCGAGTGTGAAGTACAGTCAACCGAATGGATGACCCCTTGTGAGGACCAATGTGCTGATAGTTATGGAGGAGAAGCCAGGCATTTGACACCAACCTGTGTGCCAGGAGCCATGGTTTTAAGACTGCAGAAGGCCCACAGAAGAGTGCGCCTCCTAGCCTGGGCATTCACACCACGGACACAGAGCTGTTCCTCCAGGCTCACATCACACATTTGTGGCATTTTCCTAATCACGCTGGCCCCGGTCCACTCATTTAGGAAATCACTTTTAAGAGTAGGTCAAAAGGGGGCCAGGGATTTAGCTCAGTGTTTCCGCCGCCTGCCTCACAAGCGCAAGGACCCGAGTTCAATCCCCACTATCAAAAAAAAGAAAGCAAAACAACAAAAAAAAGAGGTCAAAAGTTAAGAGCTTCCATTTACCATGAACAGCTATAGAATTTAGTTCCATACTTTTTCTCCAACTAGTGACAGGATCATATGGCTTTTTCCTTTCCTCTGTTAAAATGATGACTTTTGGGGGTGGATCTTCCAATGCTGAACCAACACTGCCATCCCTATAACAAAACCACTTTCTACATACTGCCAGATCTGACTTCTAATAGTTTTGTTAAACAAATTTCTATCTATGTTCATACTTTTTTCTTCTATTATCTTTATCCAGTTTTAGGATTAGCACGATGTTGTGTTCCTAAAATGAGGGGAGAAGTGTTCCTTCTTTTTTCTGCTTTAATTGTTTGATACAATTTATCAGTTAAAATGTATACGAACCTGTTGTCATATAGGTAAGTTTTCAAGCTAGGAGTATACTTTCTTTAACAGGTGCTATTCAAATTTTATATTTCCTCCAGAGTTAGTCTTCCAAGGTACTTCTTAGAAGTTGTAAATTTATTTCAAAACAGATTTTTGTAATATGCTTTCTATATCCTTTTAAATTCTGTAAAATCTGTGGCAATGTCTCCTAGGTCTTGATATTTTAATTTTAAAAATGTATAATTGATATTGTGTAACAGGAAGTAAAGGAGCAGGGGAAGTGGGAGGGGTAGGGGAAAAGAAAGAAGCGAAAAGAAAAAATATGAGACAAGGAAAAAAATGGAAACAAAGTCTTTGCAAATAGGGAAGGGTGGAGGGGGTGAAGGGAGGGTAGAGGAAGGGGAAAAAAATAAGAAGAAGGTACTCATGTAAAGGTACAAGATCCCAATGATGAGTGTAACTGTATTTTATACCTAAAATGGACCGATAAACTTAATGGGGGAAAAAAATTAACAGCTTCCAGGCAGGTTCACCTCTCAAGAAAAGCCACCTGTAGCCCTGGTGGGAGACTCCCTGTTAGCGCTCCCCAATCTTGCCATTACAGCAGAGCAACCTGGTATCCAATGAAGTAATTAAGGGCAAATCAAAATAATTACTTGACATTTCTTGCAATAACCATATGAAATTTCTAACCCCCTCAATCAAACCAGATCAAAAGTAAAATGCATTTAAAGAGACTTAGATAAACTCAGCATCTATAATAAGTTACTACGGAAAACCAGGGTTCTGAGTGTTACCCACCTTTGAATAGCAACATTTAAAATGGCAATATTCATAGTGCTCTTCCTCTACAGAGATGAAACTTAAGGCCGAACAAGCCACACAAATGAGGCAGAGTGGCAATTCCAAGCAGGGCCAGGATGAGGGAGAGGAAAACAAGGTATCCTGAGGGCAAAACTGAAGTAGGTACTGCCTTCTAGGCTGAGCCAATGCCCACCCTCAAGTTCCTGCACTAGGCTTGCGGCAAAGCACAGCCGTCCCCTTTTACATCCTGGGAGTGAGAAGAAAAACACAGCAGCCAAGCAACTGCATGGGGAAAAAACACCAGAAATGGCCCGGGGCTGTGGGCTCTTCCAGAACAAAGATTCAGGGCAAACATAAACTATTGGACAAAGTTAAGAACAATAAAAATTCAGAAGAAGCATCTGTCTATCCATGTGCAATGGGCAGAGGAATACTATAAAAGCAAAAGCTGTAAATCTATGCTATGCGCCACTTATTCTAAATCAATCTTATTTTAATCTCCAAAACAATTCTTGAAGACAGATGTCATTATTACTATTGCTATTACTCTTGAAGAAATAAGAAAAATAAAACAGAACCATTTAGTAAGATGAGTCAGATCTAAGAACTGGTAAATGGCGGCACTAGACTACGCTGTTATCCTGAGTATTTTTTAAATGAAGTCTCACATACAAATGTCATTTTCACAGAAAACAGAAAACAATAAAAAAAAAAATACGTAGCAGCATGTTCCTAGAAAGAAACCACTTCACACATCTTCGTACCCTGGCACAGACTTGGTGAGAAACTTTATCTTACCTGTAGGAACCAGCCCACGAGCTCTAACCTGACCCGGGGTGACGAGGATGAACGCAAAGGGACACAGAACTGGGTTAAAATCTGGCCGGGCGGCTCTCGTCTCCGTCTGACATAGACCTGCGCACCTCGGCTCCATTCACTCAGACACGGGGGCGAGCCACCAGGGATCCACGGGATTCGCCTGTCTCCCTCCCTCCCTCCCTCCGTGGTACTTGACGGGTAAACAACAGGATCTTCTCAGCTGTTCGCGCTTCTCCCTGCCGCGTGTCAGCTCGCACGGCCTCCTTCTCAGGGCTCACTGAGGAGGCGCATTAGGCCTCGTCTTCCACCTGGTGTCTCCACCACCTAATGCGGAGAGGTCCAGAGGACACAGGAAACCAGCCTTTTTGTTGTATGAAGAAACGGAACAGCCAAATGCGGCTTGAGTGGGGACAGAGGAAGGATGCAGCCCAGCTCTCGAAAGCTGGCTGGGCCATGGTCCCGGTCAGGGGATCCCGGAAGGACTTCCACGAACCATGCAACTAACCTCCACATCCCCGTGAAACTGAACATGGTGCTCACGCAGCGAGGGAGAGGCGGCGGGTGGAGTCCGTCCAGGCGCATGAGCAGGGCTGGGACTCCAAAGAGCACCAAGTACTTCACGTAGAAAAACAGCACTTGGGCCAACGCCAGTCCTCCTGAAAGGCAGAGGGACCCATCAGACACACCAGCAGCGTGTGGTGCCCAGGAGCCAAGCAGCCCCGCTTCCTCCACTCAACTCACACATTTAAAGCAGAAGATGTTTCGATTCACACATGGTGAAATTTCCTTTATTATTGTGACAGGCAACAGGACCTCTCAGCAGTCATGCTTTCATAGGTAATGGGAAAAGGAGTGCCTAAAACTATAGGTAACATTTAAAAACTATTAGAAAGGGAAAAACATCTTTTCCAAATCCTTTTAAAATCTGTATCAGCTCACACTCTATAGGAAGGCTAGAATCAAAAAGTCAAATCAACAAGTGTTGGTGAAGATGTGGGGAAATTAGGACCATCATAGAGCAGGTAGGAATGTGAAATAGGGCCGCTGGTCTAGAAAACAGTCTGGTGGTTTCTCAAACAAGAGCTCCCATATGACCTAGGAGTTCCACTCTGGTATGTCCCCAAGAGAAATCCAAGCATGTCCACACAAGCTTTTACGGAGATATTCATAGAAGCATTATTCATAATAGATAAAGGATGGAAACAGTCAAACAAATCATGGTCTATCTCAGGGATGGCGAACTTTTTAGAGACAAGAGCCCAAAATGCAACCCAAAACTCACTTATTTATTTAAAGTACCAACACTGCAATTAAACCTGAATACTGAGGTTTTAGTTTAGAAAAAACAACTCATAAATTAACATTTTTTGTCTTAAAAGAAAAATAACAGGCATGCCATAGGCTCATCACTGCTGGTCTACCCACATGATGGGATATTGTTTCACTATAAAAGGAATGAGGCACTGACATATGCTGCAACACAGAGGGACCTGGAAAGCATTATGCCAGTCACAGAAGGCTGCATATTACAGGACTCCACTGATATGGAGTCCAGAATGAGGAGACCCACAGAAACGGAGGGAAAATTAGTGATTGCTCAGTACTTGGGTAAGGAAGGGATGGGCAGGTTGGAGGACACAGCGGGAGAAAACTGGTAGCTACTGGTAGGATTTGGTTTTATTTGTTTGTTCGTTTGTTTTGTACCAGGGATCCAACTCAGGTCCTTGCGCTTGCGAGGCAGGTGGCGGAACCACTGAGCTAAATCCCCAGCCCTGGTAGGATTTGTTTGGGGGAAGATAAAACTATTCAATAATTGACAGGAGATGACAGTTGTACAAATTTGTAAATGCACTAAAAACCTTTGATATGTAGACTTCAAGTGGGTGAACTGTATAGTATGTAAATTATATCCCAATACAACTGTTGGAAAAAAATAAACAAGCAAACAAAAAACCCTACTGCGGCCCTGTGCTGCACAGCCAGTGGCCTCTTGGTCCTTCCTAATGGGGAAGAAAGCAGGCATGGGCATCAGATGCCATGCACAGTTGGAAATGAGGTGCCAGTTCCCCAGTGGGAATGACCCACAGCTCCAGGTGAGACTCAGGGGCTCTCCTGACCCCCACCTTCCTCAGGAATCCTAGCTGAGCACTGTTAGCAGAATGCAACCTCTTCACCCCAGGAGGCAGAAGAAGGCCACGGCTCCATGCTGACTGGATATCATCCACACTGGCCTTGGCTCCAGAGGGGGCGAGCAGGTCCTCTTGGCAAGGAGAAGGCCAACGTCAAAGCACCAGGAGAGAGGGCTGATGGCCATGTGCCATCCAGCCTCCCTGTGTGCAGGGAGACACTGCAGGACATGCTGATGCAGGGGACCAGGTAGTCTTCTAAAGAAAATGATTGAGGCTCAGAGAGGAACCACAGAAAATACTACTGTCTGACCTACCCAAGGATCTTTGAAATAATTCACTATGATGAAGTGTGTGGCTATAAACAGTAGCTCTGTACTGGAAGAAACACAGAAGCCATTTTTTGCATATAAAATTTGGGGTGCTAGTAGGTCAATTGTGAAAGCCATATTGTCCTGCAATGGGAAAAGCTACCAGAAAACCTCAGGAATTGCTATGTCTTGCTCTCATTCAGAAGTAACCAAACAGGTACTTCAGAGATGGAAAACAGGCACGCCTGCTGGAAAGGCTAAGCATGAACTTTCAGCATTCCTGGATGTGTTTAATAAAAGTCAAGATAAAAAGCTGATGTGTGTGAATATACAGGTATGTATGGTACACGCCACAAACATTCATCAACAAGTGAGATATATGCGCTGCCAACAGCACCTGCAAGGCATTGAGGGCACATGACCACTCCGAGTGGTAAAGAAATCAGATCCCCTGGCTGAGATGGAAACCAGGGGCCCTTTAAAACAGTCCGGAATAAATCACCACGCTACAGTCCGAAGGGTCTCGGAGTCTACAGCCATCCTACCCTGAACGCGCCCACTTGAGTCTGAACTCGGAAGCTAAGCGGGTTGGGCCTGACTAGTACTTGGGTGGGAGAGAGGTCCCAGAGCTGGGGAGGGCAGGGCCAAAGAAAGGATGGCTGGCTACAGAGCATAGTGCTTCCAGAGCCCAGTGGAAGCTGCCCAAGCATGAGGCAGGACCAGGCCCCGTCAAGGCCATCGCAGCTCTTGGGCACAGGTAGCAGCAGCAGTTCTTCGCCTGTTAGCAGAATGCCAGCTCAGGAAATATGAGCTGCCTCAGTCTCAGTGCTGCCTTTATTTCTGTACTACTTTTGTATGACTGTCATAGCTGAGACATATGCATTAGAATCGATAGCTCAGTCTGCATTTTTAATGAATCACCATTTGTACAAAATCTTCATCATTTGTTAGCATTTTCATATAGAACTGGGCTAAAAAAAGATTGATTTTGTGCAGATGTTTAATAGAACTCTGTGGCCAAATCTAATTGATGATGATTAAGGGTTTTTACTGCAATATGGATGGAAAGCACAAGAACCCAGACGTATTTATTAATATGTAGTAGGTACACCACTTACCCGTTATAGAACATTTCATACAGATTAAGATACAAAGGGCTTAAATAGATTTGTCTTCAAATTTTAATAACTAGTGCACAAGTCTATAGGAAAAAAGAAAAATAATGACTTTTAAAATACTACAATTGTAAAATTTTCTGTTACTTTTCTTCAAATCGTATTTATATCTGTGGGTTAACTATCCTGCTGTCCTGCTGCTGATTTCCGCTGTCCCTATGAAGGATAAGTGGCACGTTCTTGTTTCCTCTTGACCTAAAAAGTAGTCTTTCCTTTGTAAGATTTCATCTAAAGTCTCAGAGTTGAGCCTAAGGATTTTGATACATCCTCTTGGGCATACAATTGGCAGGGAGCTAGCGTAAGAATATAAATTACTCTACCCTGACTGAAAGTTATTGGAAATACATAAATTGAACAAGCTCTTGGTAATGGTGCAAAAAATATAAAATGTGAGTAGATTTCAATGCTTTACATTGCTGGGTTTGTATTTAAGAGTCTCTCAGTTAATGAGAGCTACACTGACTTCACCTAAGCTGCCCCCTTCCGCTCCGTGCACACGTGAGATTGAATGCTGCATGCCCCCGACGTCCACTCAGCACGAGTTCTAAGAACTTTGCCGTAGACAGCGGGCCTGGCTTTCCTGGCTCACTGCCAGTCTCGTTACAGGCTGATTTAACCTTTCCTTTTGCCACACATTTCCTTCTGCCTCTGTGCCTTATTGGTCCTTCTCTTCTTGGCAAACTCATTTCTCCTCCAATCCCAGCCCCACTATGACCCCGCCTTGTTCATCTAGTGTTGTTACTGAGCACTGACTGGCTCCTTGCTGGGCACGGAATGGCACAGCATTTGGGACACCTGCTCTGGAAGAACACTACCATCTGTGGAGAGAAGGGAAAGAATGGAAATTAGGAGCAGAATCAAAACTCACACCTGTGGGACAGGAAGCGATCTGGACACAGTGACTCAAAACCATTCATTTTATATTTAACAAATATTCATGGACTATTCATGTAGCAGGCAGGGTTTGAGGTACCTGCTATATATCAGTGGATCCTTGTGCTGTTGTGGGATTCACATCTCTCAAGTGTCAACAAAAACAGACTTAAAAATGAATTCATAGTAAGCTAGGAAGTGTAGCAGAGCACATTTCCCAACAATGGCTGCAGCTCTCCCATCATTCTGCACCTGCTTCTGCAGTGTATTTATTGCCCCTCCCTGCACTCCCCATCAAAAACCAACCTGAAGAGGCCCTTGACCAAGTGATACAGAAAAAGTGAAGCTCCTGCTCTGGTCTGGGTCCACGTCTTCCAAACACGTGCCCATGTGCCAAAGGTTTGATCACCAGCCCACAGCACCACGGGAGGACCATGGTCCTTTATGAGATGGGAGTTAGGTCAGTAAGGGCATGCCCTTGAAAGGAGGTGCTGGGGTCTGTCCCCTCCTCGGCAGCTGAGTTGCAGCTGTGTATTTCTGCTCTGCCCTTGCAATCCATATAGCAAGCCTAGCACGCACACCTCTTTCCAGCTTCATTCGGCGTCGCCTCTGCACCAGGTATCTGTCCTCACCAGGTCATGCCACCCTGACCGACTCCCCTGACTCCACCTGTCCTGGGCTCCCACCTCAGTCCATGGCCTGACCTCTCCCCTGTGCCTTTTCTGCTCAGGTAACTGACTCTAGTCAGTTTAACTTTTTCTACCACTAACCTATTCTAGATGTTGTGTAACTGCTTTGTGATTAAATCCATTCAGATTCAGGAAGTTTAAATGTTTCTATAAGTTTCTTTTCATATAAATCTCCTTAAAAGAACCTGTCATCTATAAAATCTGGGATGAGCACTAGAGTCTAAAGATTAACCACGAATAACACAAACCAGGAACTACAAGAGAAGGTGGAAGGGCCACGACGGAGGCTTAGAGATTTTCCCTTCTGGCTTGTGTGTAAGAGAAGACATCACTGCCCAGTGAACGTCAGCCCATGTGGTCAGGATCACCATGACAGGATGCTGCAGAATTACTGAACAGAAGTGGCTATTCCCTTAACAGTAGTTACATAATTTTCTTTGTCAAGAGGAGGTAGGTCAGTGCCCAAAGCCCAAGAGTCAGCA